GCGGGTCGTTGGGTAGGAGCACCCGCGGGATTCGCTCTGGCGACTGGTGCGTTACGCGTTGGTCTGGGTCCGGCGTCGAAGTCTTGAGGGACCGAAAAGAAGCGTGTCGATTTCTTGGTGCACGATGGATTGTTACATCGTTCCTTACAAACTGCACAGATGCCTGATCGCCTCAAATACTCATGGTAACGCCAGCCGTTATCAGCACGTTCCTCGTCTGTTTTGGTTCTCGGTGCGTTGGACGGTCGGTTGATGGTTGTAGAAGAGTTGCTATTGCTCGGGGCTGGTGCTCTAGGCTTCGCCGTAGGGTCAAGTAGAAGTTTGCTATGAATTAAAAAACGCCAGATGCCATCGGCGGCATCTTTAAAAACTGGGAAGGAAAATGGTTCCGCCTTGAGGTGTTTCTCGCGGTCTACCATATCCCTAAATAGTTGTGGTGCACCCCACGTGATGTATTGTGCAAGGTGACGGTCCGTGACGTTTCCAATTCGCTTGATCAACCGGTGAATACTCTGAGCCCGCATCACATAAGCGTCGAAAGACTCTTGAGGCTTCATTTCGAGTCTTCGAAAGGCTTCTTCGGTGTCCGTGAGCCAGGCGTGAGGCAATGTGCCAGTGGCTATCATATCCATCGCGTCCCTCCAGGATCCTTGACGTAAAGTCTCTTTGTTTGACTGATACCAAGCGGCCATCGCTTCTTCGTTCAACAAGGACCCCAGCAATTTAAGCTTCTCACGATCTTCGGTGACGTTCTTGACTTCGAATGTCTCCTCAATCAACTCTTGCCAGTGGAATAAATCAGCAGGTCGTCCGAATTTTCCCGTGAATTTGGGTAAATCGCTGAGTTTAACCCGATCCGCTGTTGTTGAGATCGGTACAGAGGGTGCCATTTCAACGTGCTCCTGGTGATAAGGAGGTGCGTTGTAAGTAGTCGGCTCGCGAGTAAAGTGAGGAGACGCTGCTGGGACTGATTGATACTGGGGTGATGGAATGTGTCTCGGAGAGAACGGTCTCTCAGGAGAACCCGGTTGGTTGTCGGATGGTCCTGGTGCTGCACCAGCCGGGGTAGATTGATAACCCTGCTCATGCGCTACGGTGGTTGCTGGTGCCGAGGTTGCTGGACCTCTTGGGAGAGGTGTGGGTGATACAGGCGTCCGATTGGCGTACTGTTCGAACATGTTCGATGGTGCATTCGCCGGCGCAGCCATGCCAGGACTTACAAAGCTTGGTCCTGGGGTATGCTCCGTAGCCGAAGTTGTCTGTTTCTCCAGTAACTGTCTGACTAGTTGTTGCAGCGCCCTCGTCTCCTTACGTGCTTCGCTTAGGTCCTCGTTCTGTGCTCGCAGTCCTTCGACTTCTCGACGCAGGGATTCGATGGTCTCCTCTGCTGTTGACATTGTTATGTTGGCTGCCTGAGTAGTGAGGGTGGGGTCTGTTGTCAAGCTTGAGCTTGCTACGAGTGGTGTTTCGAATGTGAAACGACCAGGAGGATGCGGTGTTTTGTCTAGCGGTTCCCGGTTGAACAACTGTGCGAAGTGCGACCTTACTATTGTCGACTCAGATGGCGATGGTGAGATGTTGGTGGGTGAAAATCGCACTCGTGCTCCTTCCGAGGTACTTGTTGCTAATGTACTAGAGGCGTACAGGATCCGGTCTGATGGTGCTGGTGAGCCCGAGACAGCTGCTTCCTCTAGTCGTCGCAAATAGCTCGGTGGTGGAGGAGGAGGAGGAGATTCGAGGGTGCTTGGTTGCTTACCCTTTCTGGCTTTCCGTAGCAGTATTTCAGGATTGTCGAGATAATAATCCGGCTTTGTCGATCCGGGGTAGCTCATTCGACAGTGCAGTGGTTGACAGGATGAACAAGGTTTGATACAGAGAAATCTTTGACTGAGTTGACCGGGGTAGAACCTTACTACGCTGCGATATGGTTGACCGATTGACAGAAGACAGAATGACAGAATGACAGAAAATTTTTGAGGTTGACAGAGAAAAATGATGGATGAATATCTTTTGAAGTGTGCAAGTTAAAAAAAGTGTAAGGTCTTTGAAGACCTTCACTGGGGGTATGGATTGTCTCTTCAAAATGGCTCTCTCGAAAGCACTAACTTGGAACTTCAGTATGTATTACGAAGAATCTAACTCCAGGCAGTCCCATACGAGGCTCTCGAAAGAGTCAGCAACACCATCCGTACAAGATATAAGAGAAATTGAAGAAGCGCTCACCTAACTCCAGGCAGTCCCATACGAGGCTCTCGAAAGAGTGAGGACTGACCGGAGTCGGCGTGGAACAGAAACATATCCTACTCTCCATCTAAACCCATAATGCGTAACCCCATAGACTCTAATATGTGTAACCCTCTTACAAAAGAGAAATTGAAAGATGAAAAAGTTGAGAATCACAAACCGAGCCATCATCATGAATGTCATGAAATGATTTAAATTTGAGGAGTGATTTTAAAAAGTATGATATTAATCTGATTACCTCTCTTGAACAAAGATCAAAGTTAAAGCTTTATATATAAAAATCATTGCACAGCCAACGGTGATCAAAAAGTTATGTAAGCTTTGAAGTCAGATAATGACATCATCGTACCAATTACCTTTTCACTTCTTGGTGGTTTATTTTTTGGTAATCAAGAATCGTGCATAGATTGATGGTCTTGTGAGACATGATTGAAATGATTGAATGACAAAGAGTACTAAACTTCCAGCTGCTCTTGCTATCTTTATCGGCTTAGAGCACCCACTATGGTGGGCGTGATTTATCGTAGATTTTGCGTTCCTGAGCGCCAAATTTGATGATGCGTGTAACAACTAAATTGTTAAACGCATGAATTCCACTATGGGATGATGTAACGTCTGCTTTACCAAAGATAAATCACTGTGGATCGACCAGATCCACAGTGGTCTAATTTTGAAATGAAATAACTTATCTTTCATAAATTTCATCCAAAAAAAATCACCAAATGCCTGCTCCGAGCTCCTTGAAAAAGAAATCGAACGTCTTTTGAAGTCTTCAAACAACGATGACGAGCAGCAGGACTATGACCAGTTGGTCTTTGACGGCCTCTTCAATGAGCTCCCACCACCGCCACCCCTTCCTCATACTCGTATACGTATAGATGGAGACCGTGTTGCTCGCGGTCAGCAACTTTACAATGACTACTTCACACCAAATGCCAGATACGAATCGAAATTCAAACGTCGATTTTGAATGAGTTTTAAAATTCGAACTTTGAAGTTCAG